AACCTGGAGGGGGCGGGGGGCTCAGCACCAGGGGCCGCCCCTTGCCCCGCAGGACAGCAGGTGTGCCCGGGGCGGCTGCCGCCTCTCTTCTGGGTTTGCCACTGAGCCACTGACCCCTGCGTGCGGCCATTGCAAGAGGCATCAGACCCCTTCCTCCCCCCGGTTTACCTCAGGTCGACCCACATTCCAACCTCGGGTTTGCTCAGAGCCCTGGGCACCGACAATGGGGCGGACCCCGGGCGGGTCGGCTGGGAGAGGCCCCACCTCCTGGTCTCCCTTTTCCATCGCCATCCCCGGGGCCACCATCCCGGCTGGTGGGCCGAGCTCGGCCTTGGCAGGGCCTCGGTGCCAGGACCTGCGGGCCACCCTGGGCACTGCCCCTTCCCCTGCAACGAGCCCCCCCGCCCCACACCCGGGGCCCAGCCAGTGGCGGTGACAGAGGGCGGGCCTGGCAGGATGTTTTTGTCACCGCCTCTTACTTCTCATTTCAGCTGCGCAGTCCCCCCCAAGCCCCGGGCTCCGCCTGCCCGAGTGGTGGGAGCAGTCACCATCATCCCCGGCCCTGCCAACACCCTGAAAGGCGTGGGGTGTCAGTGACCCGAGAACCACGGGGATTGGCAGAGGCCTCAGCAGCGGAAGGGGGTGTCTGCGGGCTGACCCCATGGGGAGGGGTCTCCTGAGGCCGCCTGGGGCCGGACACGCAGCCTCTGCCTTGTGGGCAGGAGAGACAGACAGACAGACAGGCAGGCAGAGAGCCCCGAGCGCTGCCGGAGGCTGCGGCACTGGCCTCCTCCTCAGACCGGCCTAGAAGCAAACCCGCGGGACAGGCAGGCTGGGAGCAGGCCTCTGCCTGTTAAACGCCACCTGGGTCCCGGCGTGTCCCTCTCGCCTGGGAGCGCAAGTCATAAGGGAGACGCCGCTCTCCTAGGATTCTTCCAGCCCAGTTCCCACAGCCCCGCGGGGCCCCCTGGTGGTGGCTAGTGAGCACTCCCACAGGGCCGTGCCTGTGTGCGAGAGTGTGTGTGTGTACGTGTGCATGTGGTGTGTGCGTGCGTGTGATGTGTGTGCATGAGGACAGCATGTGTGTGTGTGCCTGTGTGTGTGTGCGTGCGCGCGTGTGGTGTGTGATGTGTGTGAGATGTGTGTGCATGTGGTGTGCGTGCGTGAGATGTGTGCGTGTGCGTGCGTGTGATGTGTGTGCATGAGGACAGCATGTGTGTGTGTGCGTGCGTGCCTGCGTGTGTGCGTGCGCGCGTGTGGTGTGAGATGTGCGTGCATGTGGTGTGCGTGCATGTGAGATGTGTGCGTGTGCGTGTGCGTGTGCGTGCGCGTGCGTGTATGTGTGTGTGTGTGTGCATGTGCCCGGCCGCCCCGGGACACCCACCTGAGGAAGTCTGGGACCACAGGCAGGCACTCGGCGTCCACCTCCATGGTGACCGTGCTGCCCGGCTCTGACCACAGGGCCTGGGCCTCGGGGTTGCTGGTCAGGATCAGGCTGTGGGCGCACAGGCTCAGGGGCTCCGCGCCGTCCGCCTTCACGGCCACGGTCA